CAACTTTCCATGTCAGTGTTAGTGATGTAATCTTGATTCTTGACTTCCGCAAAGAAAATTGCATTATATATGTTTATATATTATTCAAATAATTTCATGATACTTTGATTTTATTAGTGCCTTAAACATTTGAGAATGTAACTCTGCAAAACTAAAAGCTTTTTTGTTTTTTTTTGAAACGTATATTATTGGAATATTGCCTATTGGCAAGTTCTATCCTTCGCTTCTGAGATTTACAAACTATATTGAAATAATGCAAGTAAGTGACAACTTATAAGCCACACATTTTCCAATAACGACAAAACGTGGATGCAAAACAATACCAATAATTACAATAACCACCACGGTGATTACTTTTTAACAATGAGGATTAACAGTGAAAATGCAAAATATGCATGGTGTGCTGTGATGCGTCATAAGTCCTATTGATCTACTGTAACTGTGTGCCCTTTCGATACATCTAATTGTAAATTTGTATTCTTACATGCAAGGCTTGAAATAATAAACGTTCCCAAAGTTCACGATCATGGTGATCGGCAGTCATGACTTTCCCTGCTTTTTTCAGGTTGGAAACCGGAACCCTGCTTTTCCGCCGATCGTAATGAGCAATTCCTTGCCGATCGGTGATCGGTTGTTATTTCAAGCTCTGTCTTAACAATTTTGAATTTGATTAAAGCCATGTAATAATTATCCCATGCAACTGTTAGGAAGGGCGAAATATTGAACGGAGGACGAAAATCCTAAAGAAAAGGTGAAGTTTCTAAAGGGGGGCGAATTTCCTAAGGGGGGGGCGAAATTCCTAGGATTTTCGCCCCCTGGGGGGGGGGCGATATTTCTAGGAATTTCGCCCCCCGGGGGGCGAAGATGTAGGGGGGGGGGACAAAAATCCTGGGACACCGGAACAGTTGATTAACATCAGACAAGCTTGATCCGTTTGACGCTGCTGACAGCTCGCACCGACATTCCAATATACACGTGGTTAACTTACTATTAACGTTGGTTGTTACGAAACCTCATTGATTTACAATTCATCTAATGACATTATATCCACTGTATCAGGCAACTTTGACAATGAAAAAGTTCATCCCGATGAACTTTTTTTTCAATACTGTAGAGATATATTGCATTTCTTCTTGAAATAACCCAAATATTTCGCACAGAAAAATCCTATATGAGATCAGAGGGACTTAAGTTAAGGATTTTTAACAGTAAGCTTGTTGGCTCAACAATCATATATTTTATTTTTTAAAACAAGTTGCTTTCGAAACCATACTATTAGCTACACATAAGTAAAATTACTTATATGTTTGCTATTTACATACAACAACTGTCTTGATTACGACGATAAGTACGGTATAGCATGGATGGAATAGAAAGTCTTTTAAATTTAATGATTGGTCTACGTAATTGAAAGTTCATACGTGCGTTGGTTGCTAAGGTTAGTTTTTGGGTTCCAAGTAATAGAGAAAGTTTAAGATTTTTATCAGATGCAAGTTTTCCAAAGACAAAGAGTTTCTCGTGCGAGTCTCGCTTTCTTTTGAATAAGGGACTCGTTCAGATTGAAGCTGGCTTTAGTTTTCTTCGGAGCACGATCTCTATCATGTCCCTGTCAATGATGCTTCGTCGGTTTTTAACCAAGATTCGTGTTCCTCACGCTTAGCCATATCAATGGCGGAAAGTCCAGACGAATCTTTTAGATAAATGTTTGCGTTGTGCTGAATAAGGATTTTAACAATACGTTGTTTTTGAGCAAGGTTTTTTAATAGAAAACGATGATTGTCATGTATGCATTTAAATGCATAGTGAAGCGCAGTACGCCCATAAAAATCCTGTTGATTCACTTCAGCTCCGTGCTTCAAGAGTAACGACACCACCTGTTCCACCACAGGTGGATATATTAAAAGATCATTTAGCTTCTCACACGCTAGCATTAGGCCAGTTACCCCAGGACCTCCCCTGTTGCTTGGGTTTGCTCCATGTTTTAAACAGACGTCTACCATTTTTACTATTACTTCATAGCTGAAAATATCAAGCCTTGATAAAAGGAAGTGCCAGGCATACTTGAACTCCACATAAATCTTTTCGTCTCTCAGAAGGCGTTCAATTTCTGAATAAAGAAGAATAAAGCGCAATTATGTATATACATGTACCTCGTATAGAATACACATTAACACTATCACAGAAGTGTCTGTATGAGAGGACTGTCCGTATTAGAGAGGTGTCTCTATTAGGGAGGTATTCATATTTGAGAGGTATCCGTATTAGGAAGGCAGGCTACATCCACACTAATCCGCTCTCGAATCTCTTCGTTTTTGATATTTCGAAAATGCATACAAATATTGGCGTCCACACTATGCGTTTTCAAACGAAAACCGATCAAATGTGGACGGTACATTAAAAAAGTGTCCGCAATATTAGAAAGGCGTTGATACTAAGGAGGTGTCCGTTTAGAATGGCGTACGGAGTAGAAGTGTCTGTATGACTGCATTATCGCTGGGAGTTTACGTATTTTTTATTCCTAAACTGTCAATTCCCCTGGGCTACTAAAGGCGATGTTACAGTCTTAAACGATGCATGTTTTCTTCTAACTTGCTACGCAATATATATATATATATATATATATATATATATATATATATATATATATATATATATATATATATATATATATATATATATATA